GATTAAATCCTGTAATAAACCTGGATTAACCCCTGTAATAAACCCTGATTAAACCCTGTAATAAACCTGGATTAAATCCTGTAATAAATCCAGATTAAAAGCAGTAATAAACCCAGATTAAACCATGTAATAAACCCGGATTACCCCCTGTAATAAACTCTGACTAAATCCTGTAATAAACCTGGATTAACCCCCCTGATTAAACCCTGTAATAAACCTGGATAAAACTATAAAAACCAAGATTAAACCCTGTAGTAAACTTGGAAAAAAACCTGTAGTAAACACAGATGAAACCATATAATAAACCCAGGTTACACCAAGTAGTAAACCTGGATTAAATCCTGTAATAAACTCGTATTAACCCCTGTAATAAACTCAGATTAAACCCTGTAATAAACCCGGATTAACCCATGAAATAAACCCGGATTAACCCCTGTAATAAACCTGGGTTAAATCCTGTAATAAACCTGGATTAACCCCTGTAATAAACTCGGATTAACCCCTGTAATAAACCCGGATTAACCCCTGTAATAAACCCGGATTAAATCCTGTAATAAACTCGGATTAACCCCTGTAATAAACCCGGATTAACCCCTGTAATAACCTCGGATTCCATCCTGTAATAAACCCCGATAGTTCCCGGATGTGTGGTCGGAGCTCTCCTCGGCTGCAGCTTGTTTACCAGCACCGGGGACTCTTCGGGGTGTTGACCCACCTTCAGTCACAATCGGGCGGCTGCGGGTCTCTCTGACATGTCGCTGTCCGTCTCCCCGCGGCTCGGTTCGGCTCGGTTCGGCCCGCAGCGCGAGGCTTCAAACTTTCCAGGGAAACATTAAAGTAAATCCAGTTGAAGTGTTCTGGAAGAAGTTGGACTCGGTTCGGAGGAAGGAGCAGTTTCCCGGTCCCTCCTCCTCTTAGTCCTTCCTCTCCAGGAAGAAGGACGGTCCGAACCGAACCGGGCTGGACTCACTTCAGAGTTCTGGAGTTATGACCCGCGAGGTTTGTTAATGTGAGACAGGAGCGACAGCAAGCTTCATGGTTACACTATCACCCGCCTCTGAGACAAGAAACAGAAGAAACACTGAGATCATGGAGGTTCTGATGGTTCTGATCGTGCTAATAAGGTTCGGCGGGGTTTAATCCCGGTCCAATTTGAGTTTAATCAGATTTGTTCCAGGGTTTAATCCCGGATTATCCCAGGTTTTGAACTGGGTTAATTCTGGTTTATTCTGAAGATTTCAAATGATAAACATTTAAATTTTAAAAGAGAACAACCCAAAATTAATTTACATTTTCAACCAATCAACCAGTCAACCAATCAATCAACCAATCAATCAACCAATCAATCAATCAATTAACCACAAACCCTCCTGGTCTGATGGGAGGATGATTTTAGACCAACTGCATCACATCCTTGTGCAGTGAGCAGCTGAAACGAGCTGAAATGAGCTGAAATGAGCTGCAGCAGAACAACAGCTGAAACGAGCTGAAGCAGAACAACAGCTGAAATGAGCTGAAATGAGCTGAAATGAGCTGAAGCAGAACAACAGCTGAAATGAGCTGAAAC